ATTTATTTATTTATTTATTCCAGACGCTGTAAAAGTGTAAGTGTGTACCACCAAAAGTTTGAAGCGTTGATTTCGTGGGATAGTGTAGTATCATCCGCTGAACGTGACATTCGACCAGTGAATTGACACGGTATTCTGCCGTCGTGATATTCATTCCAGGGGAAAAACAATCCACTTCAAGCAATCCTGAGAAACAAATTACCCTCCGAAAGGGATTGAAATTTGTCGAGGGGGAAAAGTCGTAAATGAGAATATTTTTCTTTGATGTATATTCTTAGAGGTATTACGAACCAAGCAATGATTGTCCTGTCCAGATTGTCTCTGTGTGAAGGACAAATTCATACGGCCACATGTGTACGCCCACTGTGAGGTAAAATCAACCGCTGATTAGTCATATTTACAACGAGGTCAGCTAATTGGACGGCTTGAGAGGTGACCTGGAATAAAGGAAGTTGTGGGTGACTGTGTCAACTTGTGCTCCACCTGTGACCAGTATTTCTAAGAGCAACTTCACGAAGAGCATCTAGACGGACGAAGTAATTAGGTGCGGACTAGCGAGTGAAGGTCGGAGTATTTTTAGGTTGGATAAAGTTCGGCATCATGGCATAAGGATACATCGCTTCGACGAAGGTAGTTAGTACAAACTAATGTTTTATCCTATTTAGCTAAACCTGAATAAGAACCACAAACGTATTAAAGTAGCTCGAAGACCTATTTCTGTCGACAGTCAAAAGATTCCTTCTTGGGAGCTCGAAGACCCTCGAGCTATTGCGCGTTGCTTCATCCTGTTTACCAGATCTATCACTTTGGGTTATTAGTTCAAATGCGAAATGCATTAGGCAATGGAGCTGCGTTTATCCCGAGCAAATTAGCAGCCAAACAATTTCAAATGAAGTCAAAATGAGTACAACAAAGTTGCCGGTTAGCTTATCAGATAAACTTAAGATGTGAACAGTGAAGTGATAGTCACTTCATGACACAGTGACTTCTTTTTTGGTGCTACTTTTGAAGAGTGAATCGGCCACTGCGGAACCATAAAGTTCTTCCAGTGCTATTACGAAAGGACGGTATCCTCAAGGGAGAATGCAATGGGAAATAATTCTGCTCACCAGTCTATATAATTAAGGTGTTTCCTCCTGCAGGACTTCCTCTAGGTAAGAAGCCTTGGCAAATTTGGTATGAAAATGTTCACAGTTTCGGGCGAATCACAGTTTCCTTGAGGATTCGAGTTTGACTGGGAATCAGACCGTAAAGACTCAAGTAGTTTTCAGACAAATTTGAAACAGGACCCGTTTCAAATAGGTTTGGTAAGCAATCGGTCCCAAACATTTTTCAGTTGCTTTAAAACAGCGGTGCTCCCTAGCAGACTTAAAAGACAACCAATTGTGTCACCTCAGGGTGAGTCCGGGGTCTGTAATTAAACTTGATTCACGGCCTGTCACTGATTCTCAGGTCAAGCTTCATTGATACTAACAAAGTTTCACACACCACTTTGTCTTTACATCGATATGTACCGTTTTATTTAACCAGCTTTCAAGACGTAACAGTTGTGCACTCAAGATAGGAATATTTTTGGTTGTTCGTCTGGCAGTAAACAGACACATAGCTTCGGTGCGTTACAACGGCTCTTTCCTCTTCTTTCTCCTTCAGTCGTCCATTTTGCCTGCGATATCACGGTGGACGCTAGTGTTTGCCGCTCAGTGGATGTGTCTTTCCAACTTTGGATTACGTGTGTGTTGAATGTCTGACTAACGATCTTCAGTCAGTTCACTCTCAATTGTGTTTGTATGTTGATCGACTGTGCATTGCGGCCAACCAGTGTGACATACGCGCGCTGTTGGATTGTGTAGCCTAAACAACTTGCCTTTCCCTGAATAGCCAATCGCGTTAGACCAGACTGGGTTTCGACCTCAAAAAAAATTGGGACTTCCACCAACCACATTGAAGGGCAAGGTTGAACGTGAAAACACGGCCCAAAAGACATGAACACAACTTCTGTGGCGGACAAGATAACGGTCCCACCGGGACTGCGCGAGCTGTTGCAAGAGTTAACAGTGCACTTGCTACGTGAGCGCCCAGAAGACCTTGTTCAGGCTTCCATTGATTTTCTTACAATGAAAAAAGCCACTTCAGATAACCGGACGAACAAAGGAACCGAAAGTGAGGAGGATGAAGATGCGGAACCAATGCCTATGCCACCAAGACGCGAAGCGCGAAGAGCTGCAGTTGCAGCAGAAAGCTATGACCCCGAAAAGGATGACGGCAGCACCACAGTAAAAGTTGTTCATCCGAAGACAGAGGAGCAACGTCAGAGACTTAATCAGGCTACAAAAGATATCCTCTTGTTTCGGTGCCTGGATGACGATCAGATGCAGGATGTCATCGACGCGATGTTTGAACGTCGCGTAAAAGCGGGTGAAAAAGTTATTACACTTGGCGAAGACGGTGATAACTTCTATGTGATCGAAAAGGGAGTCTACGATATTATCGTGAGGGTCGATGGACAGGAAAAGAAAGTCGGCCAGTACGACAACAAAGGTTCATTTGGTGAATTAGCCCTTATGTACAACACCCCACGGGCAGCAACAATTCAGGCTACTGAAGACGGTGTGGTCTGGGCAATGACTCGTGAAGTGTTTCGCGGGATTGTCCTAAAGAAGGCATTCGAAAAACGGAGAATGTACGAAGAATTACTCAACCAGGTGCCGATTCTTGAAAGCCTGAGTGCTTATGAACGCATGAATGTAGCTGATGCTCTGAAGACTAGAATTTACAACGACGGCGATCAAATCCTAAAGCAAGGCGACCCAGGTGATGAAATGTTCTTCATTGAAGATGGAGAGGTACGCATCATGATGAAGCGAGTTGGGGAATCCGAGGAGAAGGAAGTAGCTAAAATTGAAAAAGGTGGCTACTTTGGTGAACTAGCATTACTCACTAGCCATCCAAGGGCTGCGTCCGCGTACGCTGTTGGAAGAACAAAGCTTGCTGTTCTGGATGTGGGCAGTTTTGAGCGACTACTTGGACCTTGTTTGAACATCTTGAGACGCAATATTGATGGATATGAGGAAAAGTTGAAGTCCGTCTTTGGAAGCCTAGATAAGGTTCCGGAACTTCGGCAGTGATGTTCGAACTCATGAATTGTGATGCAACGAGGCAGAAGAACAAAACTCTTTAGGAGGCACAAAATCGGTGAGTGCAATGTGCTGTGATCGATATCCCCTACTTTAATGTGGCTATTTTGGATATATATGTACCTGTGGACCATATAACGGACTTGCTACTTCAAGTCTCATCTATCGACGAACTGGTTTAACAACCGAATCTGGAGGGTCGCCTCAGGTGTTCCGATCTCTTGCAAAATGTTTCCTCTATGGTAAGAAACCCTATTTACTCCATGTCTAACTTCTTTCCCAATAATTTTGCCGTATGAATCCGCACACAAACTAACTACAATCATCTATAACATGAAGTTCAACAATCATGGTTCCTTTTCCGTGGCGTGGTTTTTTTATAGCAGGTACCCGCTATATTATTTTTCCATTGTCAGTCTGCACAAGGTAAACCATTCGTTCTAACTGTAATTGTTCATGATATTTTAGATCTTTACCCCGTAAACCCTCCAACTTTGAGTCGGATTGTTCATTTGTCTGCTTCCTATCAGAGGGTCTTGGTGTAATATGTTAGTTGAAAAAACTTCAAGATATGCAGCTGCGGACGCAGGTGGTAATTCTCAACACCATATATGTTCCTTTTGTCCCTGAGTGTACTTGTACAATGTTCCGAAATCAATACGACTTTCAAAAATCCAAATATTGCTTCGATTCATTTGTTACTATGATAGTTGTTACCTGACAACCTGTTATTAGTTCACCGTACAGCATTTCTGCAGTGAGTTAAATGACTTACAGTTTTCTTGCTTCGGATGGGTGTTCGGCGCACGCGCATGGTCATGTTTGTGCAGACAAACCACATTTACTGTTACTTCGGACCTATTTCTCCACATGTTTTATGGCATTCATTCCTATGTATTCGGCGGGAGACAAAGCTGGGGAACTGAACTGGGTTCAGATCTAGGTTGAGTTGGTGTTACACGTTATTGCGGCCTCTATACTGCAGTGTCTATTCCACTACCCACTATGGTGCTTCCACTCATAGATGGGTTGGGTCCACCCTTTCGGTACGTCGAGATTTACGTTCCTTGTATTACGAAAATAGGCTACAGTGAGAAAGCAAATTTACCTACAGCGACCGCCTACAGTATTTATCGCCAGGCCTGTTGAGATTGACGTGTGAACAATTTGCCGGTCATCGCTACCAAGGTAGGCGTGGTATTCTCCGCGGATAGGACGCAAATCTTCGGCACACAACATTGACTGGTTCTACTGCATCTTTCCCAAAGCCCCACAACAAATTCTCACATCTTATTCAGGATGGTCGATATTACTACTAACTCTTATTTTTAATTTTCTCGTGAAGCTTGCGAAAGATTCAAAGACGCAAGCCCTTGGACGACGTGTAATATAGAGTTAACAGACCATTATAAGGGGGTCGCCTTGAGAGTCGACCGTTTTTTCTATCCTGATCATTCGAACTGATGAGGCCTTCATACCAATGCATTTGCTGACTGCGATATGACGCAGAACTTCTGAGAGATGTCCGTGGGCACATATGAGATGCACATTTCGCCTATATGAAGTTACAAGAAGTTTGAGCTTGAGTTTAACATAAGGCAACTTCAGTTTTTGTGTGAGAGGAATTGAGCTGACATTACTGTTATTATGTGACCTGTCGGAAGTGAAACGTTTCAAGTGTTATCGTAAAAACTTCTCCGTTTTTTTTTCAACAGAGCTGGGTAAATCTACTGTGTTTCAATCGCAGTCCCCACATTTGTTTTGTGTCTATTGATTTTTCAAAAGAGCTTTCCGGTACTGTCCACGACACAATGAACCACTCGGTAATTCGAGACCTAGGTTGTGTTTAATCACATCATTACACGTGAAATTAAAACAGGATCTCAGCTGAATCGGTTAGATGATCATAGGTGATAGAAAAATCATTGAAAACGAATTTCGGTTTGCTAATACTACTAAGTAGATGTGTCCTTGTATGTCTGGGTGGGGGCGTGATGGCCCAAGTGGTCAGAGCGCGAACTTACTGACCGGAAGGTCCGTGGTTCGAATCCGACCTCTGCCTTTCGACTTCCCTGTCTAGGCTTGGGCAATCTGACCGTATCCCAACCCTCGTGCCTTCTATGGGTGGCATGGCAGTTAGGCGCCGAACGGGTGCTACAGCTGAACGAATGTCTAGGTGTATGGTTCCGTACGATTCCTCGTGCACCTCAAGTCCGCGAGCAGTGATGTATTGATATGTTTCGTTATTGTTGTTGTTGAGATGCTGTTGCTGAACATCAATAAAAAAATGATACTCACAAAGTTTAGAATTGCACTCTGACCTAGACTAGGTTTCCGCACCACCAGTTCCGATTTTGTGTAAGAGAGTTTCTCCCACTTCTGTAATCTTCCCAAACAGATACTCGTTTTCACCGTTTAGTTCATGGGAAACTTTCTGTCCACAGATTCGGATTCAATAAAAAAAATTACCAACACCAACAAAAGCAAAAAAATGCTTGTACTGATCTGACAGATGTGTTTAAATCACATGTTTTGTTATCCATCAGATGCATCTACAGTGAGAAATTGGGACTTTGTTTCATCGATTACCGAAACTGTTGTTTGCGCTCGTCATTTCCTTCCTGAAAAACAAACACAAGTTTTGTAGGGAGTTAAAATGACAGACGTTTCGGCACGTCAAACTGAAGTATATGCTCAAGATACCCTCACAAACATTCTGATCAAGGTTCGATAACGATTTTTTTGTTCCTCTCTACCTACTGGTTCAGAGCTTCTTCTAACGTATGTTCTTTTAAGTAAGGGGTCTTAGGGATTTTGATTGCGAGCTTGTTAATTACTTTGTTGTAGCTCTGCTCAACACTTGAAAAATAGTTCCAAGTTATGCGGCGAAACCACTCTGTGGCGGCCGCTGTCAATCTCCTTCATGAGAGAAAGAGTCATCATCCTCCAGATTAGGTCTGGTTCCTTGTGGAATAGAATGTAAATTACCCTGGTGTTAGAAGTAGACTCAACGAAAACTCTCGCTTAAAATGTCTTCAGCTGAACGCGCGCCTCAAAGACCGCCTCGGTTCTGATTGATACGATATTCGAGATATCTTGACATAACACATAACTCGCTAGGCTACCTAGAGCTCTTCGACAAAAAATGCGTGACATTTCCAGTATCTGGATCATGGGCTGGCCATTAATCAGTTGAAGAATATCACAAATCAGGACCTCCAGCTATCACCAAAGTAATTTGCAAAGACTGACTTTTACCCATGGCGTATAAGGCGGTGTTTAAGTGAAACAAGGTTGATGGAAATTCAGTACTGCACTTACCTGATGAATCCCAGAAAGGAACAAGAGCAGTGGCCAGCTGGCTCCTAAAATTTCATCAACCTTATCGGTAGTGTGTTAGTTCAAGTCTTCTGTATTTTGCAGATGCCTCTTCCAGATTTCACGGAGGGCACCATTCGTAAGGATGTAAACTGAAAATGAATCCCACGGGCGGATACCAAAGGCTGCGTGGTGCTCGACGCATTGATAGAAACACCCTGTGAGCATCCACCCTTTGTTACAAACATAAGGGGTAAGCTGGTGGATAGTATGATTGCTACTGAGCTGCTCACCGGATCATGTGGGACAGAACACCTGATGAGCTGTGATACATTAAAACTGGCCTGTGGACTGTTTGAGGATCACTACAGTTGGAATGCGAGGGGTCTCTTGAGAGATGAATGAGCACAAACTGCGAATGACCACAAAGGGAAGAGATAAACTGGGAAAGTGTGACGTGACTTGATGATTACGTGTGGATCTTGTTTTTGTCACGCAAACTACCTGACACGCAAACTGAAAACTAACGAGGTGCGTCCGAAATTCGGTCCATCGAAGTTCCAGCTCACCAATCAACTGGTCTTTTATCTTGACTGGACAAAAGTGCGTGAGTTACGATACTTTTTTGGGAAACGCTTATCTCTATAAGCTGCTTCTACATGTAAAGTAGATAGTGTTTATATTTGAATGAATCTACTCACAAGGTTGCTGATAAGTCTTCAACGGTCTACGACCGGTTTCGCCCTTCTTGGGGCTCACCATGTAAGTCCCTTTCTCGGCCGTTCTCGAGTTTGTGTCAACCTTATGTTCTACATGAACCCAAGTCATATAGAATGTACAGTTGAGTGTATTTTGAAGATTGCGCACAAATTTGATTCAGGTAGAACATGGGGTTGGCAGAAATTAATAGACTGTCTCTACTGGGAGAGTCCAAAGTCAAACGGCGAAGCCGGTCATGGGCTGTAGAAGTTTTCGGCAAAATTGTGAGTAGTTTCATGTAGAAAAATGTACTAGGATATCGGAAATATAGTACCAACTGAAATATGAGGCGGTCTTTGTCCAGCACGTTTAGTTGAGGAATATCATATTTGAGAGATTCAGCTGGGGTTAAGTCTCCGGTTAAAACCAGATGGGTGTGCAAATGAGTGCAGTTCGCGTCCTGTGTTAACCAGAATGAGTAAGGGATACTTTCAATTTCTATGCCAATAGCTAGTTGACCGAGGGCCATAGTTTAGACGCATACCCCAGCCAGTTACCTGGTCGGCCCAGTTTTCATTATGGTTGAACCTGTAATTTAAGATGGCTTATTAAGCATTTTTGACTTTGGACGTGGAAGGAATGAGGTTAAATTTTTTCTATACCTTTCTGACACTTCCAGCGGTCGAGCATAGCGTTAAGCATGAACTAAGGCAGGATGGTCAGTGATTATTGTGATCGTAAAGTCCGCCGATAGTGTATTCACTTACACTCTTCATTTTCTCACAAACTTATGAGTGATAGTTCAGCTACTTATCTATTTTCAGGTGGTCTTTGTTTAGTTCCTTGAAAAATTTAGAGATATCGATTGGAATATTTGGAATTGTTGAAGGTAGTGAAGGAAATATTTGACACTCCTAACTAAGCGCTTTTCTGCTATCATTGTCTACGTCATTAAGGTATGCGAAACCCGT